TTTTTTACATTTTAATCTGGACTACAACATGCCCTAGATATTTTTTGAAAGTGTTTTGATTCTTTATTGTTCGGTCACACTTTACATTAGGGCTTCATTAGTTAACATTAGTTAATTCATTAGTTAACATAAACTGCCAATGAAAAATTCTTCTGAACATTCATTAATCTTAGGTATTCCAATATTTAATAACACGTTGTTAAAATCGAAAGTTGCAACTGTGTTATTTAATGAGCTAACATGAACCAAGACTTGTATTTTTTTAAACAGATTAATAACTTCTGTAGCAAATGTAGCTATTGCTCATTGTGAATGTTAATGCATTAACTAAGGTTAACTAATGAGGTCTTATTGTAAAGTGATACCTATTGCTCTTTATAGTTCTTTTGCACTTTAATCTGTGTAAAACTTTTAACTTCATACATTTTTCTGTATTGCTTTATTGCATTTAAATGTTGTTATTTTTGTTATAAGAAAAGTTATTAAACCTGTTATACTGTATTATGACCTCACTTTTTTTTAAACTAAATTTAAATATCGCGATAATACCGTGATAAAAGCATTAGAAATTCATCGCAACATGAATATTTGATACCGGCATATCCCTAATGGTGACTTTAATTAGTGCTTCTCCAATGACATTTTGATTGTGTCAGTCAAACTTGCGTCTATTTCAAACACAAAAAGAGGTTTAAACTACAACAGCTAAACATGCCAGCTGTGTATATGCTGGGGCTGGATTGACAGTATTTTGTCATTTTTAAAACAAATGACAAAATACTGTGAACAAAACTTCACTAAACATCAGGGCTTGAAAACAAACAAAAAATTAAATTGGTTAAATGCAGAATCGATATTTTAACATTTCTGTTCCTGCGTTCCTGTATTATTGTTCTGAAACCGGTTTGCCAAGAAAAAAAATAGCGGTTAATAATGTTATTTTTAAACTTTTTCTTTGCCTATAATAATTATACTACTACTACTAATAATAATAGCCTAATAAAGTACAGCGTTTTCTTTACTCAAAGAAAAAAAATTCTTCTTTTCGTTGTTAATTTGTCAATGATTTAAGTTAAATATTTCATGTGTATAGGCCAATATAGGCTATTCCTTTTATGTAAGCCTATAGTTTAGGGGTGTAACGATTCCCTCAGGCTGCACATTTATTGCATGGACAGAGCTAAAACGTAAGTGTCTAAAGCATATGCACCGTTCCATTGAAAGATAAATGTTTTAAAGGGGTCATACGATGCAATTTCAATTTTTCCTTTCTCTCTGGAGTGTTACAAGCTCTTGGTGCATAAAGGTCTGTAAAGTTGCAAAGACTAAAGTCTCAAATCCAAAGAGATATTCTTTATAAAAGTTCAGAGTCAGCCACACCTACCTAAAACTGCTCATTCTAACACGCCCCCAAATGTCTACGTCACAATGTGGGAAGATTTGCATAACGCCGCCCAAATGTTCACGCAAAGAAAGAAGGCGTAACTTTTATTCTCGGTGTAGTATTGTTGCCACCGCCGCCATGTCGTGGAGATGCTGTGTGTTTTATTGTGAAAGCGAAACTACTTCGTTTGGCCTTCCAAAAGAGGACACGACTAGAAATCAGTGGTTAAGTTGTATTTACAACACTGTTCCAGAACAGTTCAACCCAAATATTCAGATGTTTGCAGTGCATTTTATGGAGGACTGTTTCCTGATCCTGGTAGAGTAGACTACAATGCCGGCTGTTCTGACTCAC